AAATTTAAAATATGTATTTAAATATTTTTAATATGATATCTTAATAAAATATATGCAATGCATATATTAATTTTCTAGAGATTAAAAATTTTAATAATACAAATAAAAATATATATATTTATTTATAAGTAAGATAAACTAATTTTATAAAAAAAAATGAAGAATTTTAAATATATATATATATAGAGATATTTATTTATCAAGGAGATAAAAAGGGTTTTGATACGATGTTATATATTATAAAGTTAATTAAATTAATTTATATTTGTTTAATATGTTTTGATTTAGTAAATTTTATAAAAAAATAGAAACGTGTATTAAAGTGGGACATATTAAGCCAATTGAAATGACACGAAAAAAATATATATTGTGTTAATGTGTGTATATGGGAGAATATCTTCTAAAATAATATTTACAAAGAATTGTACCGCTTAGAAACATAAAGGTGAACAAACCCAAAGTTATATTGTACTCTCTCCGTCCCGTAAGAAGGTTCTCATTTGATTTTTGCGTCATTGTATTTAATATTAAAAATATCCTTATATTTGAAAAATTTACTCAAAAAATATCATTGTATATGTATTATAAGAGACTAATAAATATATTTTTGTTTTCTTTTCTTGGATTGTACTACGTATTGATATCATAATTAATATTTAAAGATCAATACGCAAAAAGCCAATGACAACCTTAAGTTAAAATACGAGAATTTAGGTAGAGTATAATTAGTAGATAATTAAAAAGTGTATTAGTAGAAATAATTATCATTTAATAAAAATAATTATAGATTAAAATTAAAATAAATAAATATTTTAATTAAGATTAAAAAAATTATAAAATTTAAAATTTAAAATATGATTAAAATGAATAATCATATTTTCAAAAAAAAAATGAAAGGACAAGTTACGTGAGACAGACAAAAATAAAAATAAAGACAAATTATGTGGGACGGAGGGAATAGCATTTAGTTACACATTGTTTTTAATTTAATTTTCGTTGAAATTATACTCTAATGTAAGAAAATGAAAATCCCGTTTCTGCACGAAGGGCAATTTTGGAAACTTTCAAACTTCTGTGAGATTTGGACCATTTGGTCACATGATAACGATTTTTGGAGAAAGAAAATATATATATACACATAATTTTAAATAAATTTTGAGACGGCAGCTTCAAATATCGACACGTGTCACCTATCTCTGATTCAGCCCATCGGGTTTTAAGGTTTCACTTTCGTCCTGACAATCACATATGCCTTTTTCAACATCGCCTTATTTCTGACCGTCGGATCAAACCGAAAGCCCAGCGCACCACCACCGTCGATTCATTTATACATTCTCCTGATTTGCTTGCTACGTAATTAACATACACATAGTCACACACATATATATTATATATATACTACATATATTAATAAATATTAATACTCCTTCCGTCTCACCGGAATTAAACTCTTTAATTAGGGATACGGTATTTAAGATGAGAATATTTAATTAATTAATAATAATTAATTATAATATTATAATATTATTTTTTTATAATTAATAATATTTATATTTTTAAAATAAATTTAATATATATGGTTAAAAAAATTAAAATATATGTTTAAATATTTAAAAATTATATACAAATTTTGAAAATATATGCAATATGAATATCATTTTGTAGAGAATAAAATTTTCTATAATACAAGTAAATAATTTTTTTTTAAATTTATAATTAGTATAAATTAATTTTATAAAAGATGTGTAGTTTTAAATATAGATAAAAATATTTATTTTTTTTTGAGGAGAGAGGTAGCAATAAGGGGTTTTGAGTGGGTCCTATGTCATTTATGATTTTGTTTGTTATGTAGTTAATTAAGTTGATTTATATTTGTTAAATATATTTTGATCTATGGTGTGTTTGTTTGGGGCATTGGATTTTCAATTCACTGTTCATCCCATTTCTCCCCCTAAAAAAATCAAATCAATCACCTATTTTTTATTTTTTATATTAAACTAAAAATCAATTTTACATTCAAAACATCACATTAACCCATATTTATATCACATCATACAACTATTCAAATTCAAAATTTTTACTATTTAAATATCAACTCAAAATCCAAACCCCCAAACAAGCACACCCTTAATAATTTTTACCAAAAATAAAAAGGTAACAATTATTACGGGACAGACAAAAATGGAAATACTGTCAATTGTGGTGGGACGGAGGGAGTATTTCATATAATTCTTCGTCTACTTTATATTATCTAATTTTATAATTTTTGTTGGTAAAATTATACAAAATTCACCTATAATTTCATAAAATTGTGTCAAATATTTTATAGTTTTAGAATTGTGCTTAATTTCCTCATAGTTTTATATTACAATTTTCGTTGGTAAAATTATACAAAATTCACCTATAATTTCACGAAATTGTTTCAAATTTTTCATAGTTTCAAAATCGTGCTTAATTTTCTTATAGTTTTATAAACTTTGCGTCTAATCATCTCGATTATCCTTATTTACAATGTTTGATCTAAACGCGCTCAAATTGCGAATAAGTTTCAGAATCTATATTTTTAAATTTGAAATTAAAAATATATCAATTTCTCTTATATTCATTCCTTCATTGTTGAATAAAAAAAAAATAGTGACAAATTAACTGTCAGGGTTAAAGTAGACATACAAATTATAAGTAAATAATTTTTTTTTTTAATAAATAGTGTGATAAAGTGGATGGACAAAAATGTCTTTCTATTACAAGCACAAGAACCCAATTTATGTTCTAAAATACAAAAATGCTCTTATTTCTTTCTTTTCCTTTTTTTTTCCCTTTTCTTCTTCTTCTTTTTTTTTTAAATAAAATTATTAAGTTGTATTCTTGTTAAAATGTTGAATTATATGAATTTTTTTTTTAAAAAAAATAAAAAATAGAAACATTTGTGACAATCGATCGAATGAAAGAAAATATATACTTTTCATTTAGATGCAAAGAGTATTGCATAGAACCTGATCTGAAATGTTGGGATATACAATTTTTTTAAAAATAGCTTTATAAATCCAATAAACTAATTGAAAACGTTAATTTACAAAACACCAAAATTAGTTGATTTATTGGTCAAACAACTAAAAGCTCTTCAATAAGTTAAAAGTTTTTGAAAAAATTATTTACCAAATACCCTCTAAATAAAATATATACAATATTAACTTGAAACAACGAAAAAATGACAAAAATGAAAAACGGCTGAATTAATTTTAGACAAATTAAAATGACAAAATACATATAGATTGATTTTGTGAGGAGATAATACAACGATATGAGACGGAGAGAATAACGACTTTGTGTACTTATATAATTTTTAAAGTTTAAACTTTAATTTTTAATAATATATGTTTTTAAAATAATATATCAAATACATATTTCATCTTATGAAATATTATATAAAATAATCGAACTCTTTTTATTTTCAACATATTTCAAAACTCTAAAATCATATTTTATACTCTTTTCGTTTATCCAAAAGGTATAGGTTCTATCATCTTCTATCCATTCTAACAAAATACTCCCTCTGTACTTTTTTAAAATGAGCTATTTGAAATTTTCTAATAGATTAAAAAATAATAGTATTTTATTAATTAATGAAAATATGCAAAACGTTTTGACATTTTTGTCATTTGACTTTATATATAAAGTAATTATATATATATAATGATATGTTTATAATTTAAATATAAATTAAAAGTATTTTGATATTAGTGTATGATTACTTTTATTAAAAAGAGAATAATTTTGACTATGACAGACGAAAATAGTAAAAAAAATAATTTGAATTAGAATGAATGAAACATATATTTTTTCGGTTCGAGTGATAATTTGGAGATATATGCCAATAATGTATTGATTTATCTAAAAAATGTATAAATTAAAAAGTCCATGTAGCACTTATTCTCATTATAGATAACATATGCTCTATGAAATAACATATATTGCATGTTCATATTTAAAGCATATATACTCTATAGAAGTATATCATGTATTTTAGAGAGAAATGTTATATACTCTTAATTTATATGTTGAATTTATATTATATTAATATACATAATGTGCTTATTATAACAATATTATATGATTTTTTTGTAGTTCATCATGTTATTTAATATTTAGTACTATGGCCACCATCGTAATTCTTAGGGTATGTTCTTTTGGGGAATTTTCAGTAATTTCTACTATTTTTTTTTCCTCAAATATATCGCATAAATACCTATTTTTATATTATATTAAAAATTAATTTTACATTCAAAACATCAAATTAATACCTATTTATATGAGATCATACAACTATTACAATTCAAAATATTTACTATTCAAATCTCAACTTAAAATCTAAACCTCCAAACAAACGTACCCTTAGTAAACTTAACTAACTACACATTATAAATATATTCAGACCTATCCAGTGTGCACTTTTCGGGTAGCGGCTGCGAGTTCCCACGTCATAAAAAAAAAAAAAAAAAAACTTACACTTATTTATATTAATATCATTACATTATATTGAATTAAAACAAAATGGTAACAAAGTTTTTACACATACACTTCAAATGGATGAGAAAAAAAAGTATATATAAATTAAAATAAAAATAATACTCCTTCCGTCATTCAAATCTATACTCATTTTTTTTTTGAGTTGTCATCGAAAAATATTCTCATTTTCTTATTAAGTAAAAAATCATTTTATTATTGTACTGTTTTTACTGTAAAATAAAAAATTAATAATTATTACTCACTTTTATTAAAACTCATGTCCTGTCAAAGGAGCAAAGATTTTTATAAAAAATACTAATAATTTCCCAATGGAATAAAATAACCCAAATCTAGCTTAGCAAATGGACTCGTTGGATCATGCTCATACACAAAGACAACACCATATATACATACACACAAATATACACATATATATACATATTTGTATGTATATCAGTTTGAGAAAGAGAGGAGTACTGAAAAACACAAAAAGGGGAAGAAAGAAAGAAAGAAAGAAAAAGAGGAGAGAGAGAAGAGAGAAGAGAGAAGAGAGAGAGATCTATTCATTTGTAGGTTTAATTGAGTGGGTTTAGAGAGAGAGAGAGAGAGGAGAGAGAGAGAGAGATGGGAAGAGGGAGAGTTGAGCTGAAGAGAATAGAGAACAAGATCAACAGGCAAGTGACTTTTGCGAAACGAAGGAATGGACTTTTGAAGAAAGCATATGAGCTTTCCGTTCTTTGTGACGCCGAGGTTGCTTTGATTATCTTCTCCAATAGAGGAAAGCTGTACGAGTTTTGCAGTAGCTCTAGGTTCTTTCTAATTCTCATATTTTATCAATTTTATTATTATTATTATTATTATTATTATCATCGTCGTCATCGTCTATCCCAATAATCATAATAATATTCATATACACAGCCAGACACCATTCTTCCTATCCTCCATATTTGTCTCTCTTCACTTGCGCAATTAAAACCTTTTACATATACATACATATATATATATATATATGTATGTGTATGTATTTGTGTGTATGTGAACTTTCTTTTCTTTCTTTCTTTGTGTTTGAGGGTTTTTTTGTTGATGGTGTTTTGTTTGTTCGAGATCTGGCTCTGAAAAACCTAATCTTTCTTAAATATGGTGTTGTGAGGGGAAATTAATTATAGGGAAGCAACCAAAAAATTAAATAAATAAAATTGAAAGATAAAAAGCAGGCTTTCTTCTTTGGTGTTTGATTTTGATTTTGCCTTTTCAGTGAATGTGTGGGGGTCTGTGCTTCTGAGTTTTGTTAGATCTGCAAGAGGAAACCATGAAAAGAATTTTATTAGTTGATTTGATTTGATCCTTTATTTTTTTAAGGGTTTTTTTTTTTTTTTTTTTAGATTTTGGGTTGCATTTTGTTGTCTAAAATTTGCTGATCTACAATTTTCATCAGATCTTCTTCTTCTTCTACACTTCCCATTTCTTTACTTTTTTTTTAGAGCGAGAGAGAGAGAGAGAGAGAGTTCTCAGTTTGTTAGGACAACCTGAAATTTTTATTCCAAGAATTGAGGATAAGAAACATCTTTTGTAATAATAAGACCAATTTCTAGGGTTTGATCTTTCATTTTTTTTTTTTTTTTTTTTTTTTTCTGAATCTCTATATTCAGACCATGTTCAAAAGCTCCTCTACTAATTTATAGTTTTTTCTTTTCTAAATTTTGGGTGTGGGTTTGGAGATGAATTTAATTTTTTATTAAAAAAATTGAGTGTAAAATTAGGGTTTTGGTTTTGGGGAAATTGGACAACTTCAAACCCTAACACTTCCTTTCCCTATAAATTAGAAGAATTTCTTTCTTCTTCCATTTCTTTCTTTCTTTCATTCTTAATTTCGATTTTAGCTTTTGTTCATTTGAGTTAGAATCTAATTTTTTTTTTAGCATTTCAACAAAGCTGCAATCTGCAACTGCATTCATGTCAATCATCAGTTGCACTCTTATTACCAACGGGCAATACTTTCCACCATAATTACGCTTCGGGTGCTTCGATGATTCTTAGATTCTGTTCTTCCATCTTTTCTGCAACTTCAAATCAAACAAATTCCTTCTTTAATTAACGTAATTAATTAAATTTTTTCCTTTTTTTATTTTATTTTTTTATTTTTTGAAATTGAAATTGGAGTAGTTCTGATTTGGGTGTAATTTTTTTGTGGTGGTGGTGACTCTAGCAGCATGCTCAAAACCCTGGAAAGGTATCAGAAATGCAACTATGGAGCTCCTGAGACGAACGTATCTGCAAGAGAAGCACTGGTAATTATGAATAAACTTCTTCTTACATCAATCAATTTTGGCTTTTCTTTCTCGTTTTGTCTCTCTTTTGTGCTTATGCATGCAAGGTGTTCGATGTTTTGTCTCAATGTGTGTTTTCTTTGGGTGTTTGAGTTTTGAATTATAGAAAATTTTGAATAATTATTTATTGTAATGTTTTGAATATAGAATTAACTTTTAATATAATAAAAAAATATTTAAATGTAATATTTTTGGAGAAAAAAAATTATGAATAGTAAAAATTTAGTAAAAAATCACGAGCAAACATAACCTTAGAGTCTGCTTGTTAGAATGGGATATAGTTCAAACTTATTGTGCAAATGGAAATTTTCAACAATGTTTGTTGAATTTTTGTATAGGATCATATATATGGAGATTAATTAAAAATAAACTATTTAAGTGGATAATTCTAAATAAAAAATTTATTTAAATAGGATGTAGGCAATATATTTTTTTTCTTCAAATAATTTGCAAGTTGAAGACTTTAAAAGATTGAAATTTATTAGTTGACAGTCATCTCTAAATCAATTCTTATATGTAGTTATTTTATTTCAAGTTACTTCATAAAATTCATTTATTTGAATTTGAATAGTTATACGATATGATATAAATATATGTTGGATGTAATTTTTTGAATGTAAAATTATTTTTAATATAATATAAAAATAAAAATATTTATTTAATTTGATATTTTTAGAAGAAAAAATAAAAGTGTGTTCTTTTTGTAAAAAAATATATATTTTCCCCAAAAAATATTATGTTACACATCTTTATTATTTTTATATTACCTATCTTCAAATTATTTTACAAAATCTTTCAACCAAACACACTTTAAGATTTGAGATAATTTGTTTTGATTAGTAAATTTTGAAATAATTATTTTATATGATATAAATGGATATTAGTGTAATTTTGAATGTAAAATAAATTTTTAATATAATATAAAAAATAAAATATTTGGTTTGATATGAGGTAAACTAATTCCAAAACCTACAAAAGAAAAAAGAAAGCAAAGAAAACACCATGGGTTTGTTTCTTTTGTACAAAATTTCCTACACATTTCTAAAATGTTCAATATAGCATACCCTCGTTATTTTTATAGGGTAAACTGTTTTTTTAGTCCCGCAACTAGATCCCTTATCATTAGAAGCATGTGGCAAACTAGTCTCGTAAGTGAAAAATTTCCATTGTTTTAGTCCTATGGCGCCGGCGAGCCCCGCGGGCTCACCGGATGCCACGTGTCCGTCAGGTCAGCAACACATGGTGAACACGTAGATTTTATTTTTAATTATTTTTAATTTTTTTATTTGTTCCAATTAAATAAAATTAAAAAAAGAAATTAAAACAATTTTAAAAGAATGAAAAAAAATAAAATAAAATCCACATGTCCGCCGGGTGTCGCTGACCTAGCGGGACACCTGGCGGACACGTGGCTTCCAGCGAGCCACGTGGGCGTCTCCGACGCCGGATGACTAAAACAACGAAAATTTTCCACTTATGGGACTAGTTTGCAACAGACTCCACTTACGGGACTATAATGATAAGATAATCCAGTTACGGGACTAAAAAATAGTTACCCATTTTTATATTACTTATGCAATTCTCTGTACTTCACATAATTTTTTGTTTCTTTTTCTCAAATCAAATAATAAAAAAAACACACCCCATTATTTCAAATACTTTCTAAATTTATGTTAGAGTGTTATTAATATACAAGACACATAATACAATCGATTTTAACACATAATATATACAACACCATACATGTTATGCATTAACAACATACCGCTATAATCTACACATCATTTACGGTATGTTTGTTCGTAAGGTTTTAAGTTTGGTTTTGAAAAGTAAAATTTTGAATTGAAATAGTTATTTGATATAAATATACGTTGACTGGTGTTTTGAATACAAAATTAAATTTTAGTATTATGTAATAAATAAAAAATAGATATTTTGAAAGAAAAAAAAATATTTAAATAGTAAAATCATAATCAAAATCCATAAATAATTAGACCATTGTCGATAATATTACTATGTGTTGATCATCACTCTAATCTTACTCTAAATTATACTCTATGATGATGCGGCTTTATTTGGATATAGAGGTTAAGAACAATTAATATTTAAATATAAAAATGAAATAAGGTTATTATTATAAATATATACTAAGTAAAAATGAATAATTTTTTTTTTTATTATTATTATATATATAAAAAGGAAACTAACATTAATTTTGGAATATTTTGCAATATTCAGATCAAAATATATCTCTCCAATACATTTTTCTAGATATAATTAAAATCCCATTAATTTAAACACCAATTAAACAGATTATGACCAAATTAAAATAAAACATTTTAAAATCCATCCTAATTATTTTATTAAAATATTAAATTTAAACCAATTTTCTATATTGAAAAATTCATCAAGAAACAAGATAAACAGAACCAAAAGAGTAGTAAAAACAATACCAATAACCAAAATCCCCAAAAACAAATAACATTCAAAAGAAATAAATCAAAGTAACAAATAACATTCAAAAGAAATAAATCAAAGTAAAAAAAAAAAAACACAAGACTTTGTAAAATGAAACTCTTCATCTTATTCTATATGAACTCCAAAAAGCCTAAATCCAGCTTTGCACCCATTCTTATCTCCACCCTCAACCACCCCTTCTTCCTCGCCGGCGCCGCCGCCGCTCCTCCGATCGCCGCCACCTTTCCTCGCCACATCGATAACTAAAAACTGTTTCCCAAAACAGCGCGAATCCCGGCTGCTATACAAGTAGAATCCGATAGTATCGCAAGCTTTAAGTCCCTTCTTCTTCACAAACTTATTCCAACCTCTCGTAAACACGAAGCTCTGGCTGCTCTTCCAGTAGCAATACCGAAAAGTCCAAAGTCGCATATTCCGGTCATAGAATTCGAGCTGAACTTCATTCAATCTCCTCGACCGATTCTCCAAACTCTGCCTCTCGCCAGAGCATTCGTTAGGTACATTAGGAAAATGTTTAACAGCATAACGTTTAGGGATCACGAGTCTGTTGAGCTTCCCTACATCGCTCGGAGTTAGCTCCTTCTCGAAAAGTAATGTGCAATAGAATTCCCCGTCGGCCCTGATGCTCGGCAAATTGATTTCCGCCCCGCCCTGTTGAGTTCTTAGAAAATCGAAGAATTTTATGGGGTATGATCCGTCGCGGATCATGTTTAGGACTACTTCCGTCGTGAACTGGTTTTGAAAGCTCGGTTCTTGAGAACTTATGTGAGTCCATGGGAAGTTTCGGTGGGGATCGTTATTGCGGAGCTTGATGGCTGCGCTGTCGTAGGCCATTGCCGCGTCGATCTCTGACTTAAATGTCCCGAGCCATATACGTTGATGGTTCGCGTATATTTGCGCGCCCCAATGTCCGTTTTGCTGTGGGATCACGCCCTTGAATCTCCTGACTGTGCTTTTCGATTGCTTCCATGTTTCGGATATGTCCGAGCTCGAGTTTGAATCTGATGATTCTTCTTCTTCCATTGATATCTGAAAGATAGTTTCAAGAAAATGACGATCAAGAACCAAGATTGGATCTTGAAAAATTGCTTCATATTGAGTTTACATAAAGATTTGAAATTCTCGTGCAATACTGTTTTTCCTTATAAAACATCGCATCAAATAACTAAGTTTCTAATGTTTTCAAATTTTTTTAAAATTTCAAAATTTCTGTCTAAACGGACTCTAAATAATCACCTAATCTAACTTAGTAATTATATAACACAAAGACTGAAAACTCCCATAAAATCTAACTTAATAATTATACTCTTAGTGTTCATCTTCAATGGTGGTTAGAACAAGCCATGATTTAGTAGCCATGGTCAATTTGAAAATAAAACTTTAGATGAAAAAAACACAGAGTGATTCAAATAAATATAAACACATTAACATTTCTTACCAAGAAACTTGAGGGATTGCTGAAAAATATAGTAATGGAGGATGAACAGACAATTTTATTTATTTATTTTTGTAAAAGCTAAGGATGAAGAATCTTAAGAACAATGGTGCTTAGCCACAGACATGAACGCAGGTAGCAACTAATCTGGGATTTTATTATGTTGGATGACAATAAATTGGGAAATTCTTCTTTTAAGGAGATATTTATGGAGGAGATTAATCAATCAAATATTTTGGAAAAATTACAAAAATCTTAAAAAAAATAAAAGTTGAGAATGTTTATTAGGGAAAGCTATATGAATCTTAAATCTCTAAGTTGTCTTAAATAAAATAATTATATAAGGAACTATCTCAGTAATTTAGGCCTGATATACAATCAATCTTTAAAATGTTCATTTTTAATTATGTCTGGTGTATAGTTGGTATATTTAATTCTGCATTATCCACTCATACAATTTCATACTTTCATATAACATGAACATATGGAATTTGTAACTAATCATGTTGCATTATTAAAAATTATAAATATATATATATGTGTGTGCCTTTTTTGTAGTATTATTGATTTCATTTTACAAAATTGATGTTTATTTTTTAGATCATTTAATTTCATATGAAAAGCATTGGATGCGTTTCATGTGTTTTTGGTGGTGTTTGTTTGCTTAGTATTTATAGTTTTAAGGTTTTTTGGTTTTAAAATATGTATGGAGAATCGTGAAAGTATATTTATTTAATTGTAGTTTGAAATTAATTTGAAATGAAATTGTGAATTTTTGTTTAAATAATATTTTGTGAGAATAAATAGTATTTTATTATTGAGCACTGTGTCAAATGAATATTATTAATTTTGATTTGAAATGTTAAAAAACAAACCCATAAGGAGTGTGTTTGTTTTGTGTTTTGGTTTTGAGGAATGTTTTTTCTTTTTTTTTTTTTTTTTTTATTATGTGAAATACATAGACTTGGATAGATATTATAAAAATGACTATGGTGTGTTTGTTTTGTGAGATTGTTGGAAAGAAATATTTTTTTGTTTATGTGAAATATAGAAAATTGTGTAAGAAATATAAAAATAATGAATGAAAACCTGTAAAAAAAACAATAAGTGAAAGTCCAGAGCCTGAGTGTGTGTAATATATTTGAAAAAAGTATGTTGAAATCTTTTTTATGTAAAAGAACACACTAGAGGATTTCTGTGTTTTGTGGTGTGTTTGTTCGAGGGATTGAATTTTAAATCTACTATTCATCTTAATTTTTTTTTTCAAAAAATATCAAATCAAACACATATTTTTTATTTTTTATATTATGTTAAATATCAATTTTACACTCAAAACATCACACAAGACCTATTTATATCACATCATAAAACTATTCAAATTCAAAATTTTTACTATTCAAATCTCAATTCAAAATCCAAACAAACAAACACACTATTTACGTTGACTTTTATTATTATATGTATTATTATTATATTTTTTTAATAATATTTTTAGAAACTGTGTACATTGAAACCACTGTGTGAAGTGAGGGTGTGTTTGAGTTTGTATTTGTATTTATATAGTGGTTAAATAAAATATTTTATAAGATTAAAAATGGTGCAAAAAAAAAAGAGTGGAAATACAAGAAAAACATCTACTGCCTCAGTCCCATGTAATATGAGTATGTTAATTTAGATAAAGTATAATTAGTAAGTAATTAAGGAATGTATTAGTAAAAATAATTATTATTTAGTAAAAATAATTATAAATTCAGATTAAGATAACTAAACAGTTTAATTAAGATTAAAAAAAAATTTTAAATTTTAAAATATGATTAAAGTGTATAATTAATTTTCCAAAAAAGGAAATAACAAATTATGTGGGACGGACGAAAATAAAAAATAGGGACAAATTATGTGGGACGGAGAGAGTATTTAATCTATAATTATTTTTACTATACAATAATTATTTTTACTAATATACTTTTTAATTACTTACTAATCATATTTTACCTAAATTTCCGTGTCTACGGTAACATATCCAAATTACCTAGGACGACGGATGGAGTAATTAATATACAACATTAATTTGATTATTTTAATATATTAGGTATATGAGTCATAGTAGACACAGATTACTCTGAATTCAATAGATAAAACAACATATATTGGATTATGAGGACTGCCTAGGGTTCTATTATGTAAGTGTGTTTGTCTGAGGGGTTTGGATTTTAAGTTGAGATTTGAATAATAAAAATTTTGAATTTGAATAATTGTATGATGTGATATAAATAGGTGTTGATGTGATGTTTTGAATGTAAAATTGATTTTTAATATAATATAAGAAATAAAAAATAAGTATTTAATTTGATATTTTTTGTGGAAAAAAATGGGATGAATAGTAGAAATCTAATCCAATCCCCCAAACAAACACACGAAAACCAATAGCTCTTGCAAGCTAGTTTTGACCCTCTATTCAATTTTTTTTTTTTTTTTTCGATATATATATATATATATATAGTAAGACAATAGATTAAATCTTTAATATTCTCAATTTATTGATTTTCAATGTCTCATTTGAATTTGTCCTTCAATATAATTTTGATGCTTTTAAATTTTAATGCGAGGGATATTTAAGTAAAAAAAAAAGTATTGAAAATCCACAAATTGAGATTACTAAAATTGATTTAATATATATATATTTTAAAAAAGGAGATATAGATTTAACTTGAATATAAGTTCCAAAAATAAATTGCAAGAGCTAAGTTTCCTTAATTAAATTTGAAAGTTTTTACATGCATGGAAACATTATTATATCTTAGTTAAATTTGGAAGTTTTTACATTGGATGGAAACATCATTATATCTCTAAATTTTAATGATTTTCTTACAAAAATACTTGCACATAATATTACCGTTTACCAAGTTAGTTAACAGAGTACATACATACAATATTATTGTTTATTTAATATTTTTTTGTTCGGGTTTTTTTTTTCCTTCTTCTTTTTATTCTATATCTCAAAGTCGATTCTTATAAAATATGAAATACACATCTTTTTTAAATATACATAGGATTTGATATTTTTCAAATATAAATAAAAAATATTTCTATATATTTATTTAATATTTCAACACTTTTGATGTTTTTTTTTTTTTTTTTAAGATATTTATACTTATTGATGCTAAGCAAAGTCTGCCTTTATTTATGTGTAATGACAATCTGCACGCCTTATGAATTCAATCAAGATAAGTACTTGAGATGCCTAATTAAGGATGTATTTGGACAGAGGTTGAGAGATATAAATAAATATTTAATGTGATATTTTGAATAAAAAAAATTATTTTTAATGTAAATATTTTCTCCGTTTTGTATGTATCTATCCGCTTACTTTTCGTATATAGATTTTAAAATTTTTGTATTTTATACGAAAGTAGTATTTTCTCTGTCCCAAACAAGGTGCTACATTTAAGTTGGGTACGAGATTTTAGGTGAGAAGTATTAAGTACGATAATTGAATAATTAGGTGATGTGATTGAGAGAGAAGTGTATATTTTATTTTTTTATTAAAGTGATGTGATGGGATAAAGTGCGGGGATATAGATTAAATATAATTAATTATTTTCTAATTTAAAAATATTGCAGGGTGTTTGGGATATATCAGAAAGAAAATGTTGCACGGTGTTTGGTGGGGTGGGACGGAGGGAGTACAATTGAAAGATAAAAAGTCAAATTTACTAATAATAATAATAAAAAAAGACAGATTAGTTAAATGAGAATGATGATATTTTTGTAATAATATATAAGTTGCATGATATATATTTTTTTAATACTTTCTAAAGTTGCGTGAGAAGTACAATTCTTAAAAAAATTAAACAAATAGATTGATTTTGGACATATCAAAATGACAATAGAAGAAAAAAAATTATAAGTGTTCGATTTGATATATTTTAAGAAGACCAAAAAAATATGGTTGGATCGAAAACATCTTGGGATGTTTAATTTTATATATTTTTTATAACAAAAACAATAAATAAACTCAAAACAAGAACTGGATATCTTTTATGACAACTAAATAAATCCAAAAGCACTTCATATATGTCTTAATTTATGGTTGGCTTTTTTTTTATGTTGTTATGGTGTTTAATTTTATAGGAACTGAGCAGTCAGCAGGAATACTTGAAGCTGAAGGCGCGCTACGAAGCGCTGCAACGGTCACAAAGGTTTTTAAGACAAACATATCCTCGGAAATGAATCCAAGCAATGCATATGATCAATAACATTCGATCATACATAGGTTGTTTGTTCTTTGACAGGAATCTTCTTGGCGAGGATCTCGGCCCTTTGAACAGCAAGGATCTTGAATCGCTTGAGAGACAACTCGATATGTCCCTCAAGCAGATTAGATCAACACGGGTATTATGTTCTATCCATTACATCAATTGAAATAGAAATTTTATTTTGTAGTAAGTTAAAGAGCTGAGTTTATAATATGCAGACCCAAGCAATGCTGGACACTCTCACCGATCTTCAAAGAAAGGTATATATGTATATAGTTATGTATCTATATATTTTTTTCCTCGACTCTCTTACCACCTTAAATTTCTTCGCAAGTTTCTACATTTACTTATTCCGGTATTTTTACACGGTTAGGAGCACGCCCTTAATGAAGCTAACAAGAGCTTGAAGCAACGGGTATGGAAATACATTCATTCTTTAATATTCCCGTTTGCATAGAAGTTTTTGAAATTTTGAAAATTTTGAAAATAGTAAGAAATAAAGTATGTGATGTAATTTTTTGAAGAAAAAAAGAGTTTTTTTTTTTATGTGATATTTGTTAAGTTAGTATTGATAAACAGTTTTAAATTTTCAACAGTGTCTATATAGGTGTTCTTTTTATTGGTGGTTTTTTTTTTTTTTTTAATGTTTGTGTGTTTTGAGTTTTGATATTTTTTAAATAAAATAATTGATAGGTGTGATATTTTGTAAATCACTAAAAAAAATTATATATTTTTGTAGTGTAAATTAGAGACATATACGTTAGCTACAAATTTTAGAGACGAATAAATTTCATTTTATTTTGTGTTTCTAATATTATTAGTAATGAAAAAATTGGATTTAGAGAGAAAAAAAAAAAATTATCACAAAAATATTATTTTCCTAATGGATGTAGTATTTTCAATTTTTTTTTTTTAAAAAAAGTGATTGTATAGGGAAAAAAATAAATCAAAGAGGGGTGTTCTTGTTTTTGAATTTGAATTTTTTTTTAAAAATGAAATATACATATATATATATAGTGTATACGAAAAAATACTTTTTTTTATTACATGTATAGTGAAAAATATATATTGGAATAGGCATGTAATTGTAATTGGCTATGTGTTTTTGTTTGGGGGTTTGGATTTTGAGTTGGGATTTGAATAGTAAAAACTTTGAATTTGAATAGTTTTATGATGTGATATAAATAAGTGTTGATGTGATGTTTTGAATATAAAATTGATTTTTAGTATAATATAAAAAATAAAAAATAAGTGTTTGATTTGATGTTTTTGGGAAAAAAAAATTGGATGAATAGTATAAATCCAATCCAATCCCCCAAACAAACACACCATTAGAAATGAATTATGAGAAAGTGATTATCTGTTATATATATATATATATGGATGCAGCTGATGGAAGGAAGCCAAATAAGTCTGCAGTGGAACCCAAATGGGCAAGATCATGTTCATGTTGGCTATGGAAGACAACCCACAGCCCAACCCCACCCTGCAGATGGATTCTTCCACCCACTCGAATGTGAACCCACTTTGCAAATTGGGTAAAAAATCATTTATTTATTTTATTGTATTTTATTTTTTTATTCAACAAATTAATTAAACAAGAGTAAGACTACATTATTATTATTATTATTATTATTATTATTATTATTATTATTATTATTATTATTATTATTATTACATTGTAAGAATGATTTTGTGGGTGAATTGAATTTTCAGGTACCATGGAGGTGATCCTATGGCAGTTGGGGGTGGTGCAGGGCCAAGTGTGAATAACTACATATCAGGGTGGCTGCCATGATAATAATGGTAAATAATTTTATTACAGTGGTCGGTAATAAGTAACGTTGTCGCGAACTTCTTAAACTGTTAAAAGTGTTTGATTTGATGATGTTGGTTCTTGTCTTGTTGGTCGTTATATAAACAACTTTCGACTCTCTATGTCATGGAATTTCAATATCGAAACTCTTTCTTTTTATTTTGTGTGTATGTATTTATGTTTGTGTAATGCCATAACATGCTTGTTTTAACTTGATGCTCGGGACTCTTACACGTGGGCACATATTATGCTTGTTTGTCATAATTAAGTACACGATAATAATATACACAATATATGATTGGAATTATAATATGTATCGTGTGTTTTATTACTATATGTTCTATTACATACATTGTATTTTACGTTAACATGGGATGTTCCGAAATTAATCGTGGTAGTTGTTGCATGGATTATTACTATGTGATGTTAGAATTTGTGTTATATTAATATAAAATGCAATTTCGTGCTCAAAGAAATTATAAAAATTATTGTAATATTGTGCTGATTAATCCAAATCAATATTTTAACCTCGTCATGCATATATATAAAGCGGTGGTATTACTAATTATGATGAATTTTTATTTTTTATTTTTATGACAAAATTATGATGATCTTTGGTACTATGTGGTATGGAGTTGATCTTTTGTGTGTTTGTTTTTCGTCCATTTAGAATTAATTTGACTTATAACAACATAATAATAGTTCATAATTGTTAAATAGACAATGAAGCTAGGAAGAGCTTCAAGATGTGCTCGTCTTGTTAGATTGTTGGAAATAATTTTTTTTACGTGATGTATAGAGAATTGTATAGTGAATATAAAAATAAAGAATGAGTATAGTATATTCAATTAAAAAAAAAAAACGTGTAAGAGAAAATTTAGAAAGAACAAAGTTGTAATAACCAAAAAATAAAAATAAAAATAAAAATAATTACTAATGGCGGCGACAAACAAAAGTGTTTTATTTGTCCCTGAAAAAAAAATTATTATTATTTATGTATTTATGAAAAAAATTTGATCTTTAATATTTTTTTCAAACTAAATACCATTTTTAATTAATATCTAATAAAAAAACTTAAATATAAATACAAACCAAATAAAATTTAATATATAATATATATCTTATAGTTATACATACATAAATATATATATATTATGAAAATGGGCTTTCAATAAGTCCCAAAACATTTGGGCCCTGAGTGTGGCCTAGGCTACCCAAGCCCAAGAATGACTTTACTTGAAACGGTTCCAAAATTTAGTACAAAAAAAATTATGTTTGAAGTTGAAAAATTTCAGATTATACTGACCCGGCACGACCAAATGAACAGTGCTGATTCCGGGCCTATGAAGGTTGGGCCGCGCCCGTCCAACTCAGTTTAGTAAAATTAAATATATTTTAAAATAAATACTTTTATAAATATATTAACAAATGGAGGTACGGTTAAAAATATAAATATAGAAATTCTGGGCCGGTCCGAAATTGTCATCTCCACTAGGGGTGGGCAAAAAAATCGAACCGAATCGTCGAACCGTTGAATCGAACTGAATCGAACCGAATTTTCGGTTAATCGAGCAAATTCGGTTCGAATACAAATTCTGCATATTTGATATTTGTTCGGTTCGGTTCGGTTTCGGTTTTTCATATTTTTTTCGGTTCGGTTAACCGAACCGAATATATTTATGTATTTATAATATTATATTTTAAAATTTATATTAATAATTATATACGGTTCGGTTTCGGTTCGGATATTTGAAATATTTGTAAATATTTTTTATTTAATTAAAATTTTAAAATTTTTTTATATATTTTTTCTTAATTTCGGTTCGGTTCGAGTTATTTGCAAATACTACAAATATTTTCGGTTAATTGAAAATTCGGTTAACCGAAATTTTCGGTTCGAATACGGTTCGCGGTTTCGGGTATTTGTTCGGTTCGGTTCGATTATCAAATACCTGCATATTTGCAAATAACCGAACCGTGCCCACCCCTAATCTCCACGTCGAGCAAAAGGAATGTAGGTAAAAGAAGAGGCTAGGACTTGAGGATCAAGACCGACAAAGAGTGGAACATATTAAAAAAATAAAGAACTCCAAAATATATATATATATATATATAATGCTATTTATTTGTATACAATAAAATATAAATAATTAGATAAAATAATTTTGTAGAGCATTTTTAGATGCAAAGTTTTTAATAATAGTATTAATATTAATTTTATCTAAAATTCCTTTTTAATGCGCCTCACACACACACACATAAAAAATTTTAAAAAATTTTAAAAAAATAAAATTGAAAATGAACTCCAAATTTTTAAAGAGTGGATAATATTTTTTCCCAATGTATATACTGCAGTCATAATTAACATAATATTATTGTTAATTTTGGAAAACATATCTCATAAAAATATATATTATTGCATCTAATATGATAACATAATCTTTTTTAATATTTTACAAATATAAAATAAATCTTATATATAAAAATAATATATAATGGTCCTCTGTTTATATTGGATCTTGGATGATGACAATCCTAGATTAGATAAAAAGGTTGAAATTATGCAGAAACATAATGAACTATGAAAGTTTGAACAATAATCAAATTTATATCTTTATTTTTATATTACAAACATCAAAACAAAAGATTTCAATTGAATAGACTTCTAAAGATTAGATAATAAATACAATAGATGCATTTTTATTTTATTTTATTTTATTTGTAATTTTTTATGAAATAATTATTAAATTTGATGTTTCATATAAAAAAATATATATTGTTATTGAAAATAACAAGATTACACAATAAAGAAAAATATTAAAATATAAAAAAATCATAGCCAATATTTTTAAAAGAAAATTTTAGATTATTATAATTTATATAGTCTAAAAAGAATATATATACATATATTTTTTATATTTCAAATACCATTCAAAAATTTTCAAAGTAGAAACCCATTTACAATTTTATATTTGTATATCTCTTAAATAAACATATATATTGAGTCGTTGATGTTTATTTAAAATTTCATAGATATATATATATATATATTTTTATATAAAACTAATTTATATTATCTATAAATATATATATTTGTATTATACTACAAAATAATAAGTAGGAGTGTATGTTAAATATATTTATTTAGGTAAACTTTTTTAAAACACATAAATTTAAGGATTTGTTTGTTCAAAGGATTTGAGGGGATTTACACTATTAATACAAAAGATTTTTCGAAGAAATATAAAATCAAACACTTATTTTTCATTTTTTATATTATATTAAAAATCAATTTTACATTCAAAACATCACATTAACTGTTCTTTTAGTCTCATAACTGGACCCCCTTATCATTTTAGTCTCGTAAGTGGAGCCTGTCGCAAACTAGTTCCATAAGTGAAAAATTTTCGCTGTTTTAGTCCTCCGGCGCCGGAGACGCCCGCGTGGCTCGCCGGAGGTAACTTGTCCGCCAAGTGTCCCGCCAAGTCAGCGACACCTGGCGGACACGTGGATTTTTTTTTTATTATTATTTTTTATTAAAACTTATTTTTATTTTTTATTTGCATTTTTTTATTTTTTTATTTGGTCCAATTAAAAAAATTAAAAAAATTAAAAAATTAAAAAAATAATAATAAATCCACGTGTCCGCCAGATGTCGCTGACCTGGTGGAACACCTGGCGGATACGTCACCTCCGGCGACCCACGCGAGCGTCTCTGGGGCCGGAGGACTAAAACTGCAAAAAATTTTCACTTATGGGACTAGTTTGCGACATGCTCCACTTACGGGACTAAAATGATAAGGGGGTCTAGTTACGGGACTAAAAAACAGTTTACCCTACATATTTATATTACTTAATACAATTATTCCAATTAAAAAAATTTTACTATTCAAATGTCAATCCAAAATCCAAATCCTCAAACAAACACACCCTAAATTTATTTTCTTTCAAAATATCTTATTATACATTAATGTTCATTTGTTTTTATATTATATATACACGATTTATTTTCATTCAAAAATCTAAGGGCGTGTTTGTTTATAGATTTGATTTTTGAGTTTGGCTTTTTGAATAGTAAAAGTTTTGATTTAGGGTATGTTTGTTTGAGGATTGAATTTTAAATATACTATTCATCTCATTTTTTTCACAAAAAAAAATCAAATCAAACACCTATTTTTTATTTTTTATATTATACTAAAAATTAATTTTATATTAAAAATATCACATCAACACCTATTTATATCTCATCATATACCTATTCAAATTCAAAATTTTTACCATTCAAATCCCAACTTAAAATTCAAACCCTCAAACAAATACACCTTTAAATGGTTGTTTGATTTAATATGAATTAATATTTACTCGTAAAATTAATTTTTAATATAATATAAAAATTAAAAAAAATCATTGAATTATATATTTAAAACAAAAAATAAATAGTAAAAATTTTGTAAAAAATCTACAAAGAACGCAGCGTAACATATACCAAGGGTGTGTTTGTTTGGGGGTTTGGATTTTGAGTTGGGATTTGAATAGTAAAAATTTTGAATTTGAATAGTTGTATGATGTGATATAAATAGGTTTTGATGTGATGTTTTGAATGTAAAATTGATTTTTAGTATAATATAAAAAATAAAAAATAGGTGTTTGATTTGATGTTTTTGGGGGGAAAGAATTGGATGAATAGTAGAAATCTTATTAAATCCCCCAAACAAACACAACCCAAGTATATTCAAATAGATTTCAATAGATCAAAAGTCAAAACAAACCTTTAGGTTGCATTTGTTTGAGAGTTTTGATCAAACTTTTTACTCTCCTCTAAGTATCTCATTTACGTTTTGCATCGTTGTACTTAGCATTAAAAGTATCATTAGTAATATAATTTTTGCATAAATATTGTTATAATAATATTATAAGACACTAATAGAAGTATTTTTGCTATTTTTCTCTTAATTTGTACTATATTTTTATATAATTCAAATATCAATATGTAAAAAGTAAACTGAACCCTTAAAACCGGACAAATGTAATACTATTTATTAAAAAAATTCTAAAAACATCAATAGTCCAATCTATTCTAATTTTTCTTTTTAATATATCCGTTAAATTCTTAATACTTTAATTATTACTCGTCATTCAATATTTATTTATTATCATTGTTACTGACTTTATTATATTCACTTTTCATCATCATTAATTACTAA